GCCACCATACTTGAAGACTTCGGGTGGAATGGAATCGCATCCAGATGCTTTACCATCTTTAAGCACACTGATGGCATTTGTGACTTCATCAAGCGTTATCGGTAAACTCAGGCATTCAAGTGTTGGTCTACTTGGTAGATCATCAAGCACTGCATTTGTTATGTGGGATGGACGGTTTAGCAGTTGTTCAAAGTGTTCAGCTCATATGGTACGCGTAGGATCATTGAGAATGATGCGCCCGTTCGAGCTACGAACAGCCAGCATGCCATTAAAGCAAGGGCCATGGATAGCTTTTAGCTCATTATAGAAAGTACGCATATCGTTCTTGTTTGTTTTCGGCTAATGATTACAGCTTTAAACTTCTTTTGATCTGATTCACCTTTCTCGATTCAGGACCAGCTCAAATGACGCTGTTAGCAACTACGTGCGATATGTGTTTGCAATGGCGCGTGGAATACTAACTCTGGTAGGATCCCTGTTGGTTTTGCTTTATCAACCGTCAAACGTTTCCTACAAAAGGAAAGGTAATAACCCTAAAATGTTCTTTGATTTCTGTAGCTGAGCTGACTTATAGAGAATAATTGCAAACAGCGTCACTGCAATTATGTTAGAGAGCGACATGTTCGTGTATCTTTTCAAATTCATAACTTTTGCTTGTACTATTTTACCTGATTAGGCCCACAGGATGTTGAGGCTCAAGCTGTTCAATCATTGTCTAATGTCCAATTTCCTGGGTGTCCATCTGAAAATGAAGCAACGTCAAACGTCAGCTTGGAAGCAAATCAACGTTCTTCTCTCGCGACGGTGTATTCGTGTTCTGAAGACACAAAACTATAGTTTGTTCAGAAATATTTTTTACGCGTAGGTGACTTTTTTGTCGACCTTTACGTTTACTAACCTTTGAAAAGGCTACGCGCGTAACTTCACGTTCGGAATTTACTTGAGTGAAGGATTATGTGACCGCCATTCCGGTTTACAGACGTTTGACACTGTTTGCCTTGAGTAAATCTTCCCTGTCTAACATTACGGTAGACCGATTTACTTGAAATTATATTACAAAAAATATCACTATTAGAAAGATACAGTTTCACGATCGTCTTCAAGCTAATGGGATGTGAACGATGAAGATGAGGATTTTCAAACAGGTTTCATGAATTAATTGCTATTTCAATCCACTTCCTTATGGTGATGCAAGGTGGACCAGCATTTTCATATCTAATGACCACCATTTTTATCTACTGTTATCCTCATAAATCTTAGTCACTACTGTCTACGGGGTTTGACGTCCATTTATACAATACTTTAAACATGAAAGTCACGAATGTGTTGAGCTGGCTAAGCTAAAGTGTTTTACCCTTGAAATGTATGCTGTTAAGCTTTGCAAAGTTCAATGTTTGAGTGGAAAAATTATTGGATATTTTCCAAGGAAGATATGGTGAATCAATTTGCTAGCACAATGCAAAAACTCTCAGTGTTCTATGATACAAATAAATAATCTGCTAGCTCTTCTCGAACGTGAGTATCCAATACTGATTCCACACAACATACGTCTTTTGTAACTCAATCAACTTCCCTTCCATTGGCCTCGCTCCCCAAATTTTCTCAGTAGTAGTGGCCTCGAAGAATTTCTGGGAGGCATAGGTTCGAATCACTTGCAAGGATTAATCTTCTTAGCCTTCGTGTCCTTAATGAATAAGTTGCCAGTAATCAGACCCTAGTATTTTCGGAAAGATTTCCAGGATCGCCACGGGGCAAACATTGCAGATTGCTAGAGGAAAGATATGGCGAAAGGTTGTTTCGTCGTCGTCCAGAAAAACGGTTTTGGAAAGAGATTAAAGCTTTCTTGCTGCATTTTTATCATAGCTGGGTTAAAATAATGTTGATACGAGGAAGTGTACGTTTTTGTCATGATAACTGCAAAAGGAAAGGTACCAACCTTAAAATTTTGTTTCATTTTTGTATCCAAGATTTCTTATTGAGAATAATTGCAGTGTCACAAAGATTACGTAATATAGTGACATTTTCGTGTATCTTTTCTTAAATGCGGTGCTCAGCTAAATCTTTCTAATGTCTATCAATATTGCGTGCAATGAAAAATTAAGCGTGGTTTAGGCTTTCAAAGCAATGAATAATCAATCATCTGAGGACTAACGAAAATAATCGAACAGAGAAAATAGAGGAGCANCCTAAGAAGATTAATGCTTTCACGTGATTCGAACCCATGCCTCCCAGAAACTCTTCGAGGCCACTACTACTGAGAACATTTGGGGAGCGAGGCCAAGGGAAGGGAAGTTGATTAAGTTACAAACTGACGTATGATGTGTGGAATCAGTATTGGATACTCATGTTCGTGAATAGCTGGCAGAGTATTTATTTGTATCATAGAACACTGACAGTTTTTGCATTGTGCTAGCAAATTGATTCACCATATCTTCCTCAGAAAGCATCCGAGAATTTTTCCACCGAAATATTGAACTTTTCAAAGCTTTATAGCATACATTTCAAGAGTAACTGAAAGTACTTTAGCTTAGCCAGAGGACGTTGAGAAATCTAGCTCAACACATCCGTGACTTTCATATTTAAAGTATTGTATAAATGGACGTCAAACCCCGCAGACAGTAGTGACTAAGATATGAGGATAACAATAGATGAAAATGGTGGTCACCAGATATGAAAATGCTGGTCCACCTTGCATCACCATAAGGAAGGGGATTGGAATAGTTATTAAGTGAAACGTGTTTGAAAATCCTCAGTCATGTTAATCGTTCACATCCCATTATCTTCAAGACGATGGTTAAACTGCATCTTTATAATAGTGATTTTTTTTGTAATATAATTTCTAGTCAATTGGTCCACCATATCTCCTAATGTTAGACAGAGAAGATTTACTCAAGGCAAACAGTGTCAAACGTCTGTAAACTGCAATGGTGGTCACATAATCCTTCCCTCAAGAAAAACCCGAACGTGAAGTTACGGGCATAGCCTTTTCAAAAGTTAGTAAACGTAAAGGTCTACAAAACATCACCTACGCGTAAAAATAATTCTGAACAAATTATAGTTTTGTGTCTTCAGGACACGAAAACGCCGTCGCGAAAGAAGAATTTTGATTTGCTTCTAAGCTGACGTTTGACGTTGCTTTGTTTTCAGATTGACACTCAGGAACTTGGACATTAGATGATGACTGAACAGCTTGAGCCTCAACATCCTGTGGGCCTAAACAGGTAAAATAGTACAATGAAAAGTTATGCATTTGAAAAGACACACGAACATGTCGCTCTAGAACATAATTGTGGTGATGCTGTTTGCAATTATTCTCTATAAGTCAGCTTAGCTACAAAAATCAAAGAACATTTTAGGGTTATTACCTTTCCTTTTGCAGGAAACGTTTGACGGTTGATGAAGCAAAACCAACAGGGATCCTACCAGAGTTAGTATTCCAGGCGCCATTGCAAACACATATCGTACGTAGTTGCTAACAGCATCATTTGAGCTGGTCCTAAATCGAGAAAGGCGAATCAGATCACAAGAAGTTTAAAGCTGTAATCATTAGCCTAGTATAGCAAGAAAATAATGATTTCCTTGATACGATGGCACAAAATTTGAATCTTAAATTAAAATTTCAGAGTTTTTGTAAAATCAGCGAGTTCNCATCGATGTTTCTGGGATGGCCCGGATTCCTTTTTCTTCATCACATTCTTCCTTCTCCTCTTCTGTTTGAGCTTTACCAGCTTCGTTGTCGTTGAACATATTCCGAGTTTCTCCATTGGAAAGGGACTTGATCTCTTCCTTTTTATAGTAATCTTTATCGGTCTCATACCTTTCACATTGACTGCCCAATAAAACTCGGTCTTCAGTGTATATAGTGGATTTAGGTTGCTCTTCGTCTTCTTGATCAAATCTTACGAGGAGTCCGTCCAAAAAACGCACTAGCAGACTCTTCTTACGTTCATGATCTAATTGCTGTACTTCTAAACACATTTGCGATTTAGCATCCTCACTATCTGGGTTCTTAGTTCCCTTCTCTGGATCAGGATCTGATTGAGTAAGGCCCGTTTCATCTTGCTCATTGGAAAATATTGCAGCAGCAAACTTGTGCAGTAGACTTTTTCTTCTTTCTCGCTGTTCATGGGTTTGGTTTTCTTCATGTCCCTTGTGCTCTTGCTGATAAGTTTCGACTTGAGACGAAGCCATAATCATGTCCACAAATCTATGAGCGAGGTTGATTTGTGAAGAACCTTTACCGTTGAAAAAGGATACAATCAATTATTGGACAACACTTCATTTCGAAACGATGTAGTGACTTGTAAGCATTCTAAACGAACATCGAAAAAGCAATTGTTACTACATTTGGCAGTAATGCCGTAATATAACGAGGCAATTTGCTGTTGGCGATAAGAGTACAGACGATGCTGTTCGCGTCACCGTATCAAGCAGTATGTAAAGCACTGAAGGAAACGTTTTATTTGACTTCGATGTTGTAGTAAAAAAATTGTTGCAAACTCACTCAGCTGCGCCTCGTAAGTCCACAACATTTTAACTACTGTCAGTAATGAGGAATATTTTTGTGGTCAAGAGAACAGACCACGCTTAGCCACTGTCAATTTGATAATTTTACAACGTCATAATGTCTCAAGGAGAGTCATGTTATATCGCATGAAGTTTCAAGAATTACCTGCCCTTTCTCTTCCAAACGGCGGCATTACAAACATTCCTGGTGCGTTCTACAAGCAAATATGAAATAAAGACTAAGTTGGTCGAGCTCAGAAACGTAATGTCGCAAATAACTTCCTGTATTGAGGAATGCCGTTAATCGTTCTTCTTTTACCAGTCCCGTTACCCTGGTTTACGGCCTCCGACTCAGGATAGCTAGTGAAAGTCTGGTAGAAATAATTTATGGTAAGATGTTTATAGTTCAAGACGAGGGCGACCAGAAGCCGCTACCTTAATATTTGATTACTATAATCACTGTGTGGTTAAATTAAATTCACCAAAAAGGACTTTAACCTCAGTTTTTTACTAACCATAATAGTCGAGAATGTGCTCTTTCTTCTCACACGTCTCTGAGGTTCCTTTGTACCAATGAGAAAGACGGTTGCAAAGAAGACTCCAGTTCCAGCAGCAATCCAAGAGAGGTACTTTACAAGAAAAGCGAACATTATAAATATTTTAGAAAAGGTAGTTTTCATAGTAGAATAGCATGTAGAAATGCAAAGAGGACCCCGGCATAGGCTGGCTTTTTGAATTTATGAATTTACGCTTGTTGAAGTTTCTTTACCAATAGAATATGTAGAGCTGTTACTAACCGCAAAATCCGACAGGTTGTTGGGTCCAAGAACGCCTTCACTGTCTTGTCCGAGAAGACTCCAGGCGATGGCATAAATGTAAACACCACTTAGGAAACTGAACACAGTTCTTTATTACACGAAAACGAGACAGAAAAATAACATTCTCATTAGGTTTCACGCACATTATCATAGCGGAACATAAGACATAAAACCGCACCTATATGCATTATGTATTATTTCTTAAACAGAATTAAAAAAAAAAAATTGCCAAAAGCATACCTCGTGGAGCTCAGAACTGCGCATTCCTCCACAGACTCGGCGACAGTTGTAATGACAGCCATGTGATTTATCTCAACCACGTTGAAACACATGTTTATCAACACCCGGAAAAAACCGAAGTAAACGAGTGGAAGCCAGTTTTGATAATTGCCAGTACACAAAAAGCACCGATTGAACCAAAGGGGGACTGCGATAGCCATGATGACTGTTGCGAAGAAATGCCAGGACTTTCGCCTCCCAATTCTCTTTGAAAAGAAAGGGATATCAACACGATCACCAAGGTACCCTGAGATTGGAGAAAAAAGTGCGTCCGCAATTTGTCCGATGAGTAACAGTAGTCCTGCCTCTGATGGTGAAAGTTCAACCACGTCCATGAAGAACAAGAGTTGAAACGAGAATGGGAGCTGTCGGTAGAGGTCGTTGAAAACATTTCCAACCGCACAGGATAATCGTTTCTTGACCTGCATCTTCAACAAGCTGTAATGCAGCTTTCTCCATCTGTACTATCTCTAATATAGGAAGACAAAAGTGGTAAAGAAAAAGACAGGAAGCGGGAAACACGTCAGCGGAAGTCTGTTAATTACAACTGAAAACAAACGTATATCATGAGACGGAAATTCCAACCTGAGTGGCAGGAAATGCGAACAATCTAACATCTCAAGTAAGAATAATCGAGTAGGCTTGATTAAATCGTTGCTATCAACCTTATTCTTTTTGTAAAATCCAATAAGGCCGCTCTGTGAAAGAGATGCGGGATACCAAGCGGCTTGCAAAGATCTTAAAAGCATGGCAATGTCTTGCGTTTGTTAGGAAATACGATTTTATGCCCTACTGCTTCTCCCCCTGGAGGGTTTAAGGACTCGTTCACGGTTTATAGTTGTTGTTTCAAAAAGTATGTATAGATCTCGCAGGAACACAATAATTTCAGTGAGATCCTCGGCAGCTTGAATTTTAATGAAGAGGTGCTTTCGAAAATTTTGACTTTAGTATACAAATTCGTGTTACTAAGCAATTCACTGGTTGAGTGACTCTCACTTGTTGCGTTTCAAAAACGGACTTGACAACCATTTATTGACCTTAAGAACGTGACTAAAGCTAATCAAGATTGCGAAAGGTTGTCGATTTAAAACAAATTTATGTCACATGTATGAAAAGGCGTCATTGAGAGTTCGCGTCTAACCTCATCGATCGGCTGAGGTATGTAAATTGATTTTATAACGACCACTTTATTAATCCAAAGCCTATTACCACGTTTGATAGTTGAGTAAGATCCCAAAAACACTGAAAAAAGGCATCATTTAGATATTCTTTGTTCTCCCGTGAAAGCATCAGTAAAATTATTTTTTTAACTGTTAATTTCCTCTCATTTTATAATATAACAAGGTTCTTTACTGTCGTCTTACATTTCATCTCCTTCAAAATCATCTCAATCTAGTTACTAACCCTTCAGTAGGGCGGACAATGTCTGGTTTCTACATTGAAAACCACAGTAAATTGTTTTAGGAACTCTGTTATAGCACTTTCCATAATTAAAAAAAAAAGTAGTTTGAGAGAGCATTTATGTAAATTGGACTTAGTCACGTTCACCAGCCAGCTCCCATTAACACTACAACTTAACTATAGCTTATTACTCCTCAGAGTCATCTGATTGATAAAGATCGAGTTCAAGCGTAACGAGACTTATTATTCTAGGAAAGTTCTTTGAGCCAGCCATCTGTCAGGCCGTGAGCTACATTTGGCCGCCGGATAGTAAGTTGTTCTTTTAAAGCAATGACGTTGGAAATCATTTTACCATATCTTTGAATACTGTAGACAACAATACCTACGCACAGGCAGTATATTTATAAAACAGTCGAGGCCATAGACAGTTCTGTCTAGAACATGACGTCATATAACATGATTTCACGATCCAATTTTTCAAAACTAAGGTTAGCCCCATATTTAAGTCCCGCCATAGTGGACTTGCATCCCTTACAGGGGAACTAGCAATACTCCCAGGCGCTTAATTCCAGTTATAAGAGCGAATGTTTGAATCGATCGAGTGAAAATCGAAAAATGTGGCACATGATTGAAAAATTGAAAACCTGCACATTTTGCGCTCAAGTATGTTGAATTCATAAAAATATCAGATTGCTTCCCATCTTCAACGTCTTCGGCAAAGAACATTTGACCTGCCGTTATAAATGATTGAATTGTCCTCTTTCAAGTCCACAATGAAGCTCAAGTCTGCCCAAGCCTTTCTTAAGACTTTTTGGTGTTCGAATACGCAAAGAAAAACAGACGCCCTCCGCCAGCTTAAGGAATGTGTTATAGCAAACTGTTAGAAACAAAAGAGCGTTCCCCGTTGTTTTGAAGAAGAACCTCGCAAAACGAAATATGTATCCCTTCTTTATTAAATTAACTTTCTTTTGCTCTTGCTATCGTCCTAGCAAAACCTTTGGGACTTAAAACGGTTCATGTATATCTTTTTTTATCAGTTTAGATCTAGCACACAAACGAGGCTAACCCCTTGGAGGCAAAAAAACAAAAAATCATGACTCACATAGAAATGAAAAAGAAAGAAAATGTTGCAGTTACTCGTTTCTGATTCACGATGTTGCAATATTTTGATTTATGATTATAAGAGGACTCCGTGAGGATTTCTACACATGTCACTGCTGAGATATCTGTGCGGGTTCTTTAATCTTTCCGTGCTTTCCGCCATTATTGAAATAATTTCGTGCGGCCTGCAAGTGACACAATAGAGACGTAACACAATAGAGACGACAGCTCTCTTATGATTGGCTATTATAAAAACACCCGCGAAAACCACCGTGGGAGGTGCTTCTAAAAATAGAAAGATACGGGACAGGGTTGGCTCAGAGGGTCAGTAGGGAAGATGGAAGCTCCGGGTAATGGGCTCCTGACAGTGCTTGGTTTCATCCTTGACCTCGGGTAGAGATCACAGATAAAAGCTTCACATTGGGTGGTGATGTCATCACTCAGGTTTTGCTGGGCACCTAGAAGACCTAGACTGTCTTGTTGCTGTTCATTGTGCAATAGCACTTGCCATCCATTCTTCTAACCGATTCCGGCGAGGGCGCTGGTGGAGTCGCACCCAATAATGGCGTGTGAGGTCGGAAGGGCGCGACACATTTTTCCACCAAGCTCTCGCAATTCATTGTGAACTGGAACATAACGGAGACGGTCTTTCACGCCAGTTTTGAACCAAAATTCAGTGCAGTTAATATCAGAAAGATGGGATATGCTGAGAGCGAGAACATCCGTGTCTGAGGATTGTAAGAGAATACGACATTCTGCATAGTTATCTGCAACATACTTAGCATGCAGCAGCAAAATGTCAAACAAAAATACACATTAAATCAATTATGATAGAAAGATGCTGCACTAATAAAAGGGTATTATGTTTTCAATTGAATTGAGATCGATGTCTCAGGTTCGATTTTATACATGGGCCTGAGGAAGTGTTTATCTCACCTTGTGTCTGCCTCTTTGTGGTATGATTCTAGAACGTCCACGTCTTCGCAGTGACCTCTTCTGACTACCACTGCCCGTCTGCCATTCTCAAATCCTCCTCCAATGACAAGATTCTTCTCAGGGCGCTGCTGTCTTCCTAATATACAAGATGACTCTGATAAAAAGTCACATAGATTTATCTTGTTCTCCGGATTAGGAATCTACTTCCCCCACTGTTTCGGCACAGGAGTAGAAGGTCCGTGGATCTTTACCTCCAACGAAGCGTTCAGAGAAACTCTGCGTGCACGTTCTCCTGCTTTTGTCGACGCATCCCAGTACTGATCGAAGACAATGTGAACTTCTTTGCAGTTGGCGAGTGATGTGGTGATAGCGTTAAAGTATTTCGATGCGAGTTCGCCAAAGATACTACTCCCCGCTGATTTCAGTACTTGAACTAAAGCCATGCCGTCGATGAGATAAATGGTGTATCGTGGGAAAGGTTGGAGTCGTGGGCAAACATTAACCTTGCTTTCGATAAGAGCTGCCAGGGTACTCTTGGTTGTCTTCCTCAAGCTGCCATCTTGATAAGCCAAGGAGAACGGGACAGATGAAAGCTCATAGCATAGAACTTCTTTGAGGTTAATCTGCCTCACATTGGCGGCGATCAAAAGTCGTCCAAACAGCTCTCTATCAGCACCAACAGTGACCACCTTTTCATGCCCGTAGCGAAGTTGACTAACTACTGAGATTCTTGCGTGAAAGGATTAGTCATCAGTTCAGTTGTAAAGCATGAAACAAGCTTCTGAACATCAGCGTCGTCGCGCGCTACCCGTTCTGCGCCAGCCTCTTTGTGTATGTTTACGTAGTCGCGCTCTTGCGTAAACATATTTTTAAGGGCTGTAGTAGCTGACGCACGCTCATGACTGGTGAGGAACCAACGATGTAGCGCACCAAGGTTCTGGGAAATACCAATTATCCCCCCCTCCCCTTTTGACTTGGAGGACATAGGACACTATCCAATTTTGCTCGCACAAGGAAGTTCAGGATACAAGATCGAGTTGAATCCACCCCAGCTCGGAACTGGTTGCTCTTCCTGCGCTTCAATGCCTCTCTTCAATAAACTTGCTGGCTTCATACGAAGGAGAGTCCAAGTGTCGTCTATGTTAGTTGCTTCAGAAAGAACGCTGCCCTCACCCTTGAGCCATTCTTTGTCAACGGCAACAGTATATTGAGTAACTTTAGGTCTTCTTCCATATGCTGAACATTCTTGCAACTCATCTTTACCTTCACCTGTCTTCAGGCTACGACGTCTCTCCGAATGATTTCCAGCTATCGCAGGCGGCGGTTCTGGACCAGAAACCTTTGTCTGATAGACAACCATGGTTGTAACATGGGTAGTATTTTTGCCGTCTATATTTTCCTCTTTTAAATCGTTGTTTTCGGCAGCAAATTGCACAAAAGAGCCCGGAGAGATGTTCGACGGGATGACTGTTCCATAGGTTTCCACTTTTGCCAATACTTCCGTTGCTAGACTGGTATCAACTGCTTGCAACTCATCGTATGACAAACTGTGGCCCATTCGATTCAAAAGGCCACCTAACTGCTTAGATCCAGTCGGGTGACGAACCGCTATTGCAAGTCCTATTTGCTTAGGGAGCATCACGCGGGCTTTTGATGCGCAGTGAATGATATCTTGAGAAATAAAAATAATGTGCCTCTCGTCCTCTACTTTGACATAGGGACACGGTTGGTCAAAGTCGTCAACTCCAGACTCATCGTATGTAATCATCAAACGAACAAGCCAGTACAGACTGGGAGGAATTATCTTTCTTGCTGACTCGAGGGACGTTAAGGGGTCTTAATGTAATGCTAATGCACTTACGTATTTCCTCATTAACCCGCCGAGCTGTAAACGAAGCATTGCTTACTGATCTAGCATTCTGTGAAGCTGAAGCATTTAGCACATCTTGCAGAGATATGAACCTGGAATAATTAACCTCAGGCTTACTCCTGTCGGGATGCTGGTGAAACACGATCTTTTCCCCGAAGTGCTTTTCGAGTCGAAGTTTCAGGTGCTGTTTGCTATAACTTTCGGCCTTGATTCCCTTGTCCTCCAGGAGTTCGCGATATTTCTACAAATGCGATGACATATCGTATGCCTTTTCTTGGTAAATACCCTCACTGTCTTGTCCGAGAAGACTCCAGGCGATGGCATAAATGTAAACACCACTTAGGAAGCTGAACACAGTTCTTTATTACACGCAAACGAGACANGCTCGGCTGGAATATGTTTTCAGCAATGGCGGAAGATTTTTGGACGACTTTGAAACGGTAAAAATTGGTCATCGAAGGTTTGTTTTGAGAATTTAATGGCAAAAAGGGTCTTAACTTGACCCAATTAAACATTGTGTAAACAATTTAGGCCAAAATAAAATGTTCAATTTTCGTCTTAGGGGCACTTTAAGGCACCCTACTTCTAAATTGAGAAAAAAGGTTACTGTAGAGTTGCTCTCGGCTGCACCTCGATCAACTTTTACGCCTCTCTCGCGCTCTACAATATTCCGACATGCATTCATATCCCGATATACGCATGCTAAACACGAACCAATTCTTTAATGTATTTACGCGTAATGATGTTGTGTACCGGTATATAATCTTAAATGAAATTCTCTCAGAGTTTCGATTTCCTCTTTTATTCAGAACAACGGTTTACCTTCTTGAGTGGTGTTTATATTTATGCCACCGCCTGGAGCCTTCTTGGTCTTGACGATGGTGATGCTGTGGGACCCAACAGCCCTCCAGATTTTACGGTCAGGAGCTTCTTTCCTAATTTTTTTTTTAGAATTCATATACTCTAGTGAATAAAACCTGCATAAGCGAAGGTATTTACAATTGTCAAACGGTTTAGGGTAAAGTCACTTCGAGACCTATCAAACTCCCTACTTTGGGTAAGAAGCAGCTCTAGAGAAACTTCGCAAAGAAGGATATTCATAACTTTAGGTATCGCTATCTCCCTCTGTTGAACTCAAACTACATAGTGTGCCAAGAGATGCACAGCCAGGGTTCTTCTCCCAATGCTTTGATAGAGCTTCCTCTTCTTAGCTCTACTTGCAGTGGAGACACCTTTTTTTGTCAGTTCTCTTGCTATTTATCTGCAGTCCCTTTCATGGATAGCGACTGGAACTGGAGTCTTCTTCAGTGTAATCATCTTTCTCTTTGGTGCAAAGGAACTTCAAAAACTGATAAAAGAAGGGAGGCAACCCACATGCGTTGACAGCATTGAAGATCAAGTTGCAATAAGCGACAAAGATGGCAAATACGATGAAAAAGATCGCAGGAATCCTGCTACAAAAGAGCCTAAAGAGACGTTTACGCACAAATAGCACACATTCAAGTATTATAGTAAGTCAAGATCAAGATCCTTGTAGTAAAGCCCCGTAAAGATAGTTGTGACAAAACGAATGTTTTGGTACTAGCACCTTCAATTCGCTTTGAACCAGACATATATCATTCGAAAAGAAATTCACCCTAAAGTACTTATTACGTATACGCACCTTTGTATCCGACACTTTCGCGAAGGTATCGCGTTTACAGAATCGATAGGGGATTCTGTAATTATCGCAAGTTCCATTTTTTTTTATGGGTTGTGGAATAAACGGACTCAGTCAGTTGCCTTTCTTTTATCTCAGAACGCTTTTGGAACAATACTGACGCCATTTGGAAGTAGAAATAAAGGCAAGTATGAATAAATCGTGCGATTTTATATTGATCGTGGTGAACATGAAGCGAAAGGAAACTTTCTCAATACTTTGATCAGGAAGCCAAAAAAGGCCGTGACTTTCAGCTTACCTCTATTTCAAGAAATGCCGTCAATACACGAGGACCAGCTAAAGGAATTTGTTTTTTTATGATTTGGCCGGAGAAGCAATGATCGCTAGTGAAAGTGCTCAGGATCATTATCTGAGACAAACTTGGAAAAGCGACGAAGGTCTGACTAGTATCTTATAAGGGAAACAATAATTTTTCAGCTTAAGAAGCAAATCCTGCAGATCTACACGGTCCTCGTGTTTCGCTGGAAAATGTTCAATCTAAGAGGAAATGTTCAAAATAAATCAAAGATTGGCTGAGAGATCCAAACTTGTATAAGGTAAAAAAACCCAGTCTTTTTACTGTCTTATTTGTTTGCTACTAAGGTATTTAAAATTTTCTGCAATCGTTCTTCATCATTTTTCTTGTGTCACTTTATTTTTAGGCAGCCATTATCTTCACATGTACACGTCTTATACAGGACACTGTATACAGTTATTTACCATTATTCGTTACAGAAAGGCTGCTAGTTGCAAAGGTACTATATCAAAGTCCCTTCACTTTAACATTTGCGCTGTTGACTTGCTTACAAAATTCTTGAGGGTAATTACAGTGTTCTTCCCTCCTATGAGGAAGCTATCGCCTATATTCCACTTATTTTCCTGATCAATGCCTCCTTATCAAGTTTGATATGCAACAGACTCAGTGGGAAGATGGCGGAAGTAAGGTATAACCGTTAGATAAGTCCCATGAACAGTTATGACGGTATAACCGTTAGATAAGTCCCATGAACAGTTATGACGTACTACGTACGTCATTTAACCGCCTCCCGGTTGGCTCAATTGGTTAGAGCGCCGGACTGTTGTGCGGGAGGTCGAGGTCGATGGTTTGGTCCCTGGCCGGACCAACACTCAAGGTCTCCAGCGAGCTCCCAGAGACACTAAAAGTTAACTATAGCTTATTATTCCTCAGAGTCATCAAATTAATAAAGATCGAGTTCAAGCGTCATCGTGATTTATTATTCTAGGGAAAGTCTTTGAGCCAGCCTTCTCTCAGGCCATGAGCTACATTGGGCCGATAGTATGTTGTTTTTATAAAGCGATGACGTTGGAAATCAGTCTACCATATCTTTAAATGGTCTATGCAACAGTACATATTGGCTATTAAACAAGCTTGAGGTCAAGATGGCTGGAGTTTTGTGGACCGAGACGAAGTCAAGGTACATAAAGATGCGAAAAAAGGACGAGGCTAATATCCAGCCATCTTGACCGAACAAGCTTGGTTAAGAAAGGATTTATTAAATTTCAAAAAGATTTTGCTTTAATAAGAATCAAGAGTGACTTTTTTACTTCGAGAGCATGGAAAGAAGGCCAACTGTGTTTGTAGCACAACAAACTAACGAGAGTCGTTTCTGTTTTCTTTGTTTTGACTACCTTCTGCCACCTTTTGCATTTCCATCGCCAAAATTGTCCAAGAATTACGAACGTAGTTCTAATTCTATTTTCTTCATGCGCATGATCAATGCCGGCAATCCCGAGCGGGCAAGATAGGCCCATCTTCCCCGCTCGGGTAGCTAATCAGAACACAAAGTTCGCTTCATCTTGACCACGGGCGCTGCGAGCGACGTAATAACTACGCATATAACAATTTAGTCCTAAAACAGTCCAGGCCATAGACAGTTCTGTCTATAACATGACGTCATAAAACATCACGATCCAATTTTTCCAAACTAAGGTTAGCCCCATATTTAATTCCCACAATAATAGACTTGCATCTCATACAGGGGGATTAGCAATACTCTGAGTCACTTAATGCCAGTAATAAGCTCTGGAGCCTTTTAGGTAACTCGGTTCCAATGCAGACTAAAGTCTTGTAAATCATGAGTCTTCATCAGCCACTTCTCTCTTTTATCTCCACAGGATATCGAAGCTCGAGCTACCCAATCATCCTTTGTTGTCCAAGTTCCTCGGCGTTCATCTAAAATAAAGAAACGCAAAATATCTGCTTGNAGAACCTCTAGGACCAGGTTACGGCCATCATTGACTATCATCGACTATTATCAACTATCATATACTTTGGACATGTTCAAATTCGACGTGATATTGATGATAGTTTTGCCATTTGAACGAGCGGAAGATAGTTTTTAGGCTACCAGTTTTTATAACAACAGGCGCAAACCGAAATTGCAGCTAGTAAAATATTTTAATTAGTCGTGAAAATTTCACAGAATATATTGTTGTTCATTGTCATCATCTCTCGTAGGTTTAGATAGATAGACGTTTATTAAAAAATACCTTAATAGCAGCTGGAAGCTGAATTGCAAAGGTGTACAAGTTATGTTATAGAACTATACAACAAAATCAAACCTAAAAGGGAACTAATTTACATATACAATTATAATAAATGTTAGTTAAAATGACTTGCGCTTGCTGGAATGAAAGTAACTCTGAACCGATTTGTTTTAAAGGAAACTCTAAATAATCTGCTTCGTCGTAATTCCATAAGTTGATCTCGGTTATCGAAAGGCAGTAAGTGGTATAAACAATCGAAAGGATTGGAGACGATGTTGTTAAAGAATTTTAAGCAAAGGTTCTCTCTCCGATCCCTTAGAGTTTTCAGCCCTGCCATCTGAAGCACTTCTCTAAAATGATTATCATAACCGTATATAATTTTCAAGGCTCTCTTTTAGACACGCTCTAAACTTAAGCTCAAATAATTGGGGAGACTATAATGGTAGACCTGACATCCATAGAGTAAGACAGATTGAATACAAGCAACGTAAAAATTTGCTTATTCTGGTGATGATACCTTAGCTCGCTTTAACTGAGTTAAAAAGTAAAGGCGCTTAGCGGCCTTTTTAATCGTCTCAGTAACGTGAGTGTTCCACTTGAGGTTCTCTTCAAAATTCACACCCTGTAATTTCACGACATTAACGGTACTAACCTTAGAGCCATTAATTTCTATGAGATCGTAGAAAGTGGGGGAGCGCATAAAGGAAACTCTTAGCTCATTACATTTTTTTGAGTGGAGTTGAAACGAGTTGAATATTTGCCAGGTAACTACTTCGTTTATCATAGACTAAGCATTGCTAGGGCCACCCTTGTTTATGATTTCAAACACTGTCGTATCATCTACTTATTTTATACTGGCTGATGGCTATTTTATACTGGCTGAT